AGGCAGATGAAATAAATAGAATATTGAAAATGTACATCCTGATGTACCTTGTCAAGTGTTTTAAGACTCATTTTGAAGGTTACACCTCATGACTAAATCTATTAGTAAATCAACTCAAATGATTAGTATAGATTTCTTTTAAAATTGTGGTTTGGAAATTTGAAATGTGTAAGCATTCATTCTGACATGAAAAGACCAAACTTCCACGACTTGCAGCATCTTTCTTAGATCAACGCTATAGTTTAAGAAGGAACAATTCTTTCAGATTTCAGATTTCAGAAATCTGAAATCTGAAAGAATTTCAGTGCGATTCTTTGCAAAAGTAAGGGACTTGGGGCAGTGAATGTCCTAGCTCAATCCATTTAAAATTCTTTGACTGAAGTACAACACAATTGGCCTCTGCAACCTCGTGAGGTAGCTCAGTGATGGTGCTGTGTGAAATGGGAAGTGAAAGAAAGTCCTTCCCTGGAAGCACATGGTTAGTTTTGACATATATCATACTGTAGGATTTGGCAATAGTTTGGAAGAGTTGTTTAAGGAATGCATATTGTAGGAAGAAGTCAGCTGGTAGTTATCTGTGAGGGCACGTCTTTTCTCTAAAAATGAAGTGACAGATTATATTTACATTAAACTGAAATTTAATTTAAAAAGAAAAACACATTTGATATTACTATTGTGAGGAGAGGTGGAAGATTATGGAAATTCCAGATGTTATGGAAGCCAATATTGTCTTTTAAGATGATTATTACTTCTATTATTTAATCTTTTTTTTCCCCTAGCACTCTGATATATGAGGAGTTTTGGTCACCATTATGAGAATTTTATAATGTAAATTACAGAGACAGTGCAATAAATCACTGAAACACAATATAAAGTGCAGAGACTAGGATGTGATGAGGAGGCTGTACAGATCTTGCAGACTGACTTGGCCTTTGACTAAAGCTGCRGTGCGTTATGGTAGAATAAATGGTAACTGTCTTAATGCTAATTATTTGCAATTTACTTTTTTTTTACATAGCTTTAACAATGTGTGACAGACTTTTTTTTTTGTTATTATGCTAAACCCTAAATATGGGTAAGCACTCAATAACATGTAAATATAGGAATTTATTTCTAGGATAAGACTATTGRTCAGCTATGAAGAGGTAAGAGCTGCCTCTCCCAACTACTGATACGAACTGCAGCCTGTTCATGGCTAGAGTGGGCAGAAATTAAATTGTATGCGAATAGGATTCCATTCATCCAAACAGACTCAGGAATCAGATATCCTTCTTTATTATCTGCTGAATGACTCCCATTCTATAAAATAAATTACCTTCTGGATAATCATCTTATGAGAAAAAACAGTTAATTGGCAATACAAGCACACCCAGTATTGGTCTTTTGTTTGCTAAATCTTCACACTTTTGACATTTCTTGTCTCCTGATGTTGCCCCTACATTGTAGCTCTTAAGTGACAGGGAAATTTCATGTCTGATGTGGTCATTGTGGTCTTAATGCTGATGCTTTTTTTTTAATATCATGTAAGTACTTGACATGCGAATTTTGACATGCGAAYAATTTTATTTCTACTATGATTTTGATGTGGCCAACAGTAGTTAATCAGATTCTCTAAAGCAGTGGAAAGGAACCATTCCCCAAGTGATCTCCAGCTGCCCTAGGATGCCAAGCTGCACTGACTGAACACTTGAGGGTTAGTGTGAAACCAGTCTCTCCTGTACTCCTATATAGAGGTGCAGTGTTTCACTGCCTTAATTTTTCTCCCTGTAATTGATGACATCCAACCCATTTCATGGGGATTCTTCACAGGTAATCATAGCAATAGAATCTCCTATTACTTCATGAGCTGAATGCTTCCAAACGCAGCCTTTCTCTCCAAGCTTTGTAGAAAAATGAGGGTAGGTGCAACTCTGAACTACCCTTCAGGCACAGTGGCAACCAGAGCCCGAGCAAGGTGGTGTAATTGGGAGAACCCCACAGCACTCTCAGGAAACCCATATCTTCTAAGATCTGGTCACATATTCATTGGTATCAATTACCATCATTTTGAATCCAACTACTTAGCGTAATTGCTTACTTGAGACTAAGATGACAAATGCTAATAGCTAAAATCAGAATTCCATACAGGGGTGGTTAAATATCTTCATTTGAAAGACAAAACAGGGCATCAAAATGCATTTTTTAGTTAAAAATTTCTGTTTATATCTCTGTGTTAGTTTGACCATGCATCTGTGGGATTTGAAGATGTGTGCTTCAGCATTGAGAAACTCGGGGGAATTTACCTTCATACTACAAAAATCCACATCCCGGTTACTAAAACAAATTCTTTGGCTAATAAATCTGTCTTGTGGATATGCTGGGGTTTGGAAGGCATGCTGAAAGACATGAGTGTTTCAGACCAATAATGGCTGCCTAMTTTTGGTGCCTTTGATAGTCTGGGTTGTATAGAAGGGTAAAGTAAGATGAATGTGCTTTTATTTAATAGTATGAGTAGTTAATACGGAAATCAACCCTTTGTAGTCTTGTAGGTCTTTCTGCCTCTTGATAATGCCAAGAAGAGTGAAATTGCTTTTGCTAGTGAAAGCACTTGCCAATAATCATGTAAACCTGAGTTTCCTGAAAAGCTAGATGCATCTAATGACCTAAGGGTGTTGGTAGACTAGACACGTGGCCACTACCCTGCTTCCTTTTGCCTATATTCTATCCTCAAAACTATTTCTTCTCCTATTTTAGTAATCCAAATGATTCAGTCCATGAAATGAGGAGGATATTTCTCCTTGGCCTCATCTTTCTGTTGCTAAACAGAGCAACACTGAAGCTGACTGGCAGGAAATCTGGCAAAGCTCGGAAAGATGCCTTGTACTGGTGGGATGTATCCAAATGGTGAAGAACTTGACTGATATTATGGGATGAAAGAGAGAGATCATGAGAAAAATCAAACTACCAAGGGAAAGAGAAGCTCCCACTTTGCATATGGATGCTTGCATTTCATGTTTATACAGTAAATCTGTATGCTAGTCCTTTATCTACAAGCTTTTATCTACGCTCTTTGTTGAAGCTTCAAATTAGTTATCTTCAGCTAGGGTTTTGTAGCAACAGTCTGACATGAAAGGTTGTTAAACAGACATCGCTTTGTAAACAAGCCATATATAGAATAACTGATAAGGATTTGTGAATTACAACCCTGTGTTGGTGCTGAGGTTTTCTTTGGTGACATTAGACATCATGCTAACGAATCCTGAAGAGGGAGTGAAGTAAGGAGATCTCGGCAATAGCCTTAGACACGTATTACTCAAGGTGGGGCTCCAAAAGAGGTGCACTGGGCAGGGCACCACGTTAGAATTAAGCTCTCTTCATCCTAGCATCCTGTTTCCCTCTTTTGTCTCATTTAACCTCCCCTTGTCATTTATGAATGCAAAATGATTATGGAGTAATTTAAAAATCATCAAAGGAGCATATATAAAACAATAAGTAATAAGTAGTCAATGGCTGACTGATAGCAATGCAGACAGATTCTCTGGTATACTAACAGGTATATCTGTTAGATATATTTAATTATTAATCTCTGTGGGTTATAAGGTGATCACCRCTGCAAGAAATTTTACAAAGAATTTGGTAGATCCAGAAAGAGAAGACAATTTCTGGCAGTGTTTCCAGATAGTTTCCTGAGGGAAAGCCTGGGAATAATCTGGACTCATTTAAAGCATCTCAGTGACACTAATTTTCATAGGGTTAAAAATATCTGCATAGATATGCAAATAGTAAATAACGTGTCCTTTAATGTCATTGAAAGTTTTTGTGTTTTGGTTTCTTGGACTTTGAATTTCTCAGTCCCTAAGCTGCAAAATTGTGACTGCAGGAAAGGTAGAAGATTACAGTGTATGTGCTTCTGGCCTGTGTGCAGGCTCCAACAGCTCCTTCGTTTGAGGGAGGGTTGTGTAACAGATAACGACAGACACTGTGAGCAGCCACAGAAAAATGAAAATCCTTGTGCTTGCCTTGGAATTTGTGAGAATTGCTGGTATTTTACAGGAGCAATGTAAATTAAGAAGTGGTTCATCTTAAATTCTTCACTTAAAGGGGAACTAGCTGGCTCACGTGTCTGAGAAAGCGCTCACAGTTTTTCTCGAGTCTGCCCTGCGGCAGACAGTGGTTGCTGGTTTTTCTTATGGCTCAGAGCTGAATCGCTTAACTAGGGTGCCCAGGTCTGTGACGTGGCCCCTGCAAAGCAATGCAGCATTCTCAGCAACTAACCTGGTTTAGATAATGCGCAGTCATAGTATGTGGACTGAGAGAATAAATAGTTGTATATAAAAATAGACTTTGAGCCGAACATTCAAGTGTGCTGGTAGGCCCTATCAGATAAGCTCAAATTAAATAAGAATAGAAATTATATGTTGTACGGACTACGCAGAATTAACATTCTGTGAAACTGTGTCTTACATTTATGACTAAAAAGCTCATTTGCAATTATGAATAAACAGAATTAAGTAAATGATTTCTTCCTTTCTGTAGTTGATATAGAACATGCACACACTCGCACTTACCCCTAGAGAATGGCAGCAGATTCCACTAGCATCTTCCACCAAGCTGTGCAAGCGTATTTGCTGCATATTCGCTTTCTGTGCTTTTGTACTGTGAAAGGGGGAATGTGATATTTCCAGGAATGCATTACTTAYGTCATATTTGTGTAGTATCTTCAGCAGTGAGGAGAACACAATTATTGAGTGTTTAAAAAGAGTGGTAATGAACCAGACTCTTAGGAATCAGGGATGGATCCAAACCCATAATGAGCTTTAGAAGAACCTGCTTTTTGTTGTCCAGTTGTCTCTATCAGGTGGAGGTCCACAGCTACTTGATTTTTTAGGAAGTGTTCAAAATCAAACATTACCTTTGTGCTTATGCATGCTCAATAGGACTCAGAAAGCTCTATGAATTTAGTGATTAAGAATACTGATTTCATTGTATTTGATAGTTAATATTTGAAAGGGAGAACTAACCTGATCTGAAGCCACGTGAGCATTGGTGTGGTGCCCCCTCCGAACACCCAGACCGTGAAGAACACGACGAGTAGCGTTGTTGTAAACATCATCTGTTTTGGTTGGGATTCAGTGTCTCGAATAGCCAGCGCAAAGGCTATTGCACCCCGCAAACCTGAAAGAAATAGGCAAAGAAACTTAACRTGATGGAGGAACAAAGTTTATAAGCGAGGAAGGGTCCTGGGATAAAAAAATCTGTGTCCAAACAGGCTACCTTTTTGTTTTGCTTGAAGCAGTATAAAATTTCAGCTCCATAATAGCATTTATGTGTGGTCATAAAAAACAAACAAACAAAAAAAACCCACCACAATTTATTAAAAAAAATAATTAAAATAATAGTTTCAAGTATTCGAAGGGAAGATTCATGAAAACTGTAGTTTTTTTAGTTCTTAGTGTACTAGAATTCTTACAATAACTGCAAAATTATAAATCTACAGAACTGAAGTAAACAGAAAAAGCTACAAAAGTAGAGAAAAAAAACTAACAATGAGTTCAAAAAAAGCCCCACAGGTAGCAATAAGCTAACTAGGTCTTCACAGGGTGACACACACACAAAAATATTTCTGGATGCATAATATAATATATACTTTTCATTTAGACATTTAAATTTTCTGTATTGTTTCCTTAAAAAAAAAAAACCCACAGAATAAGTGTAGAAAGCTATAGAAAGTGAAGTCATTACATATATACAATACACACAGAATGCAAAACGTACTTTGCAAATATTAAGACATTAAACCTAATAATTAAACCTCTTGCAAGCCACKGATGGTTTATGCAGAATCATTTAATCAGCTGCTAAAAGCAGCTCTTTTGGGAGGGGAATGCTGAGGCACTTCACGAGCACAGAGCCAGAATGTGAAATATTTTGTGTGGACGAGGGACACTTCATCCACAGCACAACACAAGCAATTTGTGCAAGCTACAGCAGCCCAAATGGGTCAGTGGCAACATGTTTAATATTCCTACTGTTATGAAGCCGATTCAGGGGGCAACAAGTGGGCTTTCTCTTGCTTTTATTTATCAGACACCTCTACGGATGCTTGTGGTTTACTTGTTCTCTCATGGTCTGTTCTCTTCTAAACATGTATTTGTAGGAGATTGGGCCACTATTGAAGCAGTCTCTTTCTATGGGTTACAGTGGTAATGTAGAAGAATAGCACAGAAAGCAATGCTCAAATTCGAGGTAGCTACAATGAGATGCTGCTTTTGATAATGGCAGCACAAGTGTCAATGTAATAGTAAATTTAGAACATCTCTTTTGAGAAGAAGAAATGCTAAAAAGAAATTTTTTTTTTTATGCTGCTAAGAATGTCCACTACATGAGSATTGGACCTGGTTATTTGTCCATTTTTGTGAAAAGTTGAGTACCTTCATCACATCTTTCATTTACAAAGGCTCAATATGTTCTGYGAGTGCTGAAGAACCAAGGAGGGCAGCAGTGTTCATGGCTAATGTGGGGAGCAGGTGCCAGCACAGCAGACTCCCTCCATGTACATCTGGGGCTTGCGTTTCCACAGCAGTACTCCCTTTCTTCTTTCCTGCTTTATCTTCTTTTTAGCTAGTTTCTTTTCATATCTTCTCTGGTAGTCTCACTTTGGCATTCCTCAACTCTACGTATATCTGAGTGTGCTTTTGTAGGTGCCTGCCCAATAGCTGCCTGTGCACAGCTCCTCTTTTTGTGCTTCTTCTGCAGTTGTGTTCCACCCTTTCAGACTCCACTGCAAGATCTTAGWCTAACAACTACCCCTGCAGCAGCATGTATCACAAGCCTCTCACTGATACATATATTGGAGAGAAGAGGAAAGTGCAAAAAGGGTAAAAAGAGACATTGGGAGAAGAGTAGAAGGTGCAATACTTTGTTTGAAATATTGCATACCCCTGTGGCAGTGATGCTTAAACATCAAACATGTTACTGCCACTAATAAATCTATACAAACCTATTCTTTCCTCTTCTATTAATTTTTTAAATTATTTTTTAATTTATTGTTAACTGGTAAAAGCATCATATCAGCGTCTTCACTGAAAAGAAACTTATTTATTTCCATGGAATATAGACTCCTAGTATAGAGTGTTAGTTCCCTTATTTAAAACATAAAATCTTTATGTGAGCAGAGTCTACTCGTCATTTTATTTTAGCTGATGTTAAACTTAATTTGATAAGCACAGGCTTAATTATAAAACAACTAATCTAGTTCTGATCTATGATGGGCATAGAAATCTCACAGAACTGGGATTTTATCAGGGATCATGATTAAACATAATTGCAAAAGAGTATCCACCCTCCATAATCTGTTGTTAGATAAGAGACATACATGAATGAAAAATATAATAAATCAAAATGCTACATAACCTACTTCCAGGCCTAACTTTTCTATGTTTCCTCATCCATTTTAATAGTCCTTAAGCGGTAGCACTTGACTTCAATGGAATTCTTGGCAGAGTAGTATATTCCAAAATGCTAATCAACGAAGCACTTGCATGAGCTTAATTGCTTTTTGTTTCCCCCCCCAGACTTTGCTATTTGTGGTGACTGTGGTAGTAAAATTTAATTAAGACAATAATAAATATTRGGTGTGTTTGGAAATGACAAGGTTGAAAGCAAAACCACCTAAATTCTCTATTTTCTATATCTTAGTGTGTTAGATATACTCTCATTAGAGTGAAATCCATTTTTTTCTGTGGCTTTCTATCTTCTGGAACGATGCTATARGAAAATACTGCTGCTGTGAAAGAGGCTGCCAGCCATAAGCCTCTTCTTCCCATGCTCAAACTCAGTGTCTTGTTTGCCTGTATCAGAACTGACTTTTTCTTCTGGCAGCCTCTGTTTACCACTCTATACAGTATGATCTGCTCATAAAGAATTAGATCATTTGTGGTAACTGAGGACAAATTATAATGCGTATTGCAAGTATAAGTACATGGAAAAAATCCAAGTATTACCTGTGTTTTGAAGTTTGTAGCTGATAGCAGTTTTTCCTCTGTGATTACATATTATGCTGCCTTCTTGTTTGGAAGTATTGTAAAGGCATTTTTCTCCACAAGATACAATATTTCTTTGAAAGCAGTTAAAAGTAACTTTTCTAACTATTTTAACATTTAAATTTTAGGAGCTTTTAGTACTGCTATTCTCAGTTCTCAGCTGACAGACTGTATTGGAAACCTAATGTGTGAGAGTTCTCACCTTCAGTTATTGGCTGCAGGCTACTGCTGGTTATATGGAGAATGAAATTTCACTGGAGAAAATTAGAACAGAATAAGACTTTTTTTTTTTTTAATCTATACTTTATCTGTAAGCAAAAACTGGGCCAAGAAGCTAGGTAACTAACATTATGAAGCTTTTGACTCCTAGATGTTTGATCTGATTCTAGTTCGCGTGGGTGTCTGGTCGCAACCTTCTAGCTGTGTCAGTGATGTAGAACATGTAGGTTCTGCTCTGCTAACAATTTGAGATGAGCAGGTAGCCTGAAAACCAGTTTCCAATGGATGTAGGTCATCGTCTCTCCCTACAATACAGCTGGTATTATCTAAAATCTAATCAGCAGCTTTTAGGACTGAATAGGTATAGAAGTGAACCACTGTGTTCATGCTCTAGGGACATGGTGCTATTAAGGCATAAATGAGGTMTCCTGATGAGTATTCCTGATGAAGCTTGAAACATGGCCCATTGTATTCCGCTTGTTGTGTGGTCAAGTAGATCAGTGTATTCAGGCCACAAGTCAAGAGCCTTTTTTCATCAAAATTGGAATATATATTTCATATGAAAAGCAAGAGAAGGAAAGGAAGTGCTGACTTCCTCATTTTAGGAAATGATTTTTTAAATGTTATTGTGGAATCTGTATTTCTGTCCTTCAGTGACTAAATGTTCTCAGAATCTAAGCAAAAGAGTTTTTTCTAACAGGGATTAGAAAGTCAAGTGGAGATATTTCTAGCTTGTGCATGTCCAAAAATACAGTTTCCAGATGAGATTTAGCAGATCAATGGATGATGCACAAATCGGAGTAGAACGTGGCTCCCTCTCCTGGATTTTTCTTGGTCTTGCAGTGCTAAACATAGTTAAAACCAGTAAAACCTTAATTTAGAAAGCATGGCAAACATATCTGGATGGAATATATGCAAAATAGCTTCATAGAATAAAAGTCTATTTCAATAGAAGATGTTTCAATAAGAATAAAAGTTTCAAAATACAACTGTTCTTGAAATTAAAAAGAATCACTGAAGAACATGTGTGATCTGTGAATAGCAGTGTTAAATCTTCCTAGTTGGATATTTATTTCCTTGTGTGTAAACATACTGCCTACTATATATACTACAAGTCCCAAACTAAAAATAGAACATTCCTAAATTGCCACAAAAGTGTAGAGATGGATGATAGATCCAAAGAGTATCTCCCTGGGCAATAGATTTCCAAACAAATAATTAAAATAGATCCATAGGGCAGTGAAGCTGATGAGTGGCTCTGAAGAGACTACGCTGAGTTTTAATTCAATGTCAAGTGTTAAGTGTGGACAGGAAAAAAAAGCAGAATAGGACCTACCTGAAAACATCATCATGTGCTGAAAGTTCCTGGGAATCTTTTGTTTTCGACCTAAGTTCAAAAGGAAAGAGAGTGGATATATATTGCATRCTCTTGCTATGAAAACTGCCACCTACAATGCAAGATGTTAAGGAAAATCGTGGAGGAACTGCTAACAGAAAATAGATCTAACATTATTTCTCCAAAGATGGCTTAAAAGTATAATTAAAACACATATGAGATTACCTCACTTGGTATTTTACATATCACATGAATTTCTCTGGTTCCAGTTCCATTATAAAACTGCAGTGGCAGAGATTGTCTCCTCAGACACCCTCGTTTAAAATTCATCATTACATATTCCACTGCAATCACTCTGCTTCTACTCATCACATGTCACATGTGGTTTCATCTTCAGTCTTTCAGTAAAATGCCCGTCATCAATTGCAGAGATGGCATTATCTCCTTCAGCAGCAATTTGCAAAAGATAAATGTGCTTTTGGACATGATTACTTTCTTATTTCCTGACAATTTGTATTGTCTATATTCTGCAGTCTTTGGTTTTCTTCTCTTTTTTCCTTTTTTTCTCTTCTTCTGGATAGTTTTTAGAAAGATTTATTACTGTTTTGTGGAATTATCACAGAAGCCACCTTAATTAGAAACAAGAAAGTATTTTAGATTTAAAAAAAGACAATCATACCTCCTTTTAGACGCTTGTAGCGAATTCCATCCTGCCCTTGTCTTGTGACTTTTTGGGCTCAATTTTGTCTCTAAGGGCCTTGACGTGCTGTGGGTTGTAGCACAGGGGATGCCCTTGAGCAGCAGCAGGTGGACGCGTCATCCCTGCAGGGCCTGGAGCTGCTAAAAGCTCCTGTGGCCCTGGGATAACTTGCCCGTTAGCTGTGGTTGCCTCTCCTGTGGATGATGTGCCTGTGTCCTCTGCTCTGGTGCAACTTATGAGCCTGTTGGCTCGCAGCGAGGGGATGTGGGGCCTGCGGTGTCGAGAGCTGCTCTCGCTGGGCTGTCCTCCCTGCTAGGAGCAGCTTGGGACGGGCTGTGTGGGGCTGGTGGCGGGTGACCCTAGGGCCTCTCCGTCCTCTGGAGCAGTCTGCAGCCAAGGGAGCTGTGGTCCAGTCCTTGTTTTTTTGGRAACTGCATGTAAAAATTACTGTGAGGGAACTGTGGTCCCAACTTTCAAAGCTACTATAGTTCATCAAAAAGTGATAAGCAGAGGGCTGCAGCTCTGAGTCAAAAAAATACAAAAATAAAAAATATCACGGTATGAGCTGTCAGAATAATAAAAATGATACCTCTGTACAAGCAAGCAATAGACTTTGCTGAGAAAACCTGGCAGAATTAGACAGTCTCTGTTTCCTACCCGTCTCGGAGGTGCTCTGGACGACATAAATAATTCTACTCTACACTAGAGATGCGGAATACAAAGCAGGTAAGCTTTGCACAGGGCAGGACTGTTTGCTTCTTAAGGACTTAATAACGCTCAGATTGCTCTGGGAGAGCTCTCCTTACAGCACATATCTATTTGAGGCAGCTCGACAGTTTGTAGATCTACTCTGGACAGGCAAAAAGATTTTCTGCGCCTGCAGATGTCCGCACAGATGTGTCTCAACACACATCCCAATTTCCCACCCCAAAACAATATCAAGGCCAGTGGCAGAAATTCCCCACGTGGCTTAAAGCTATTTGCTGTGCAGTGTATCTGCAAAAAACAAGCCCCTGCCAAGAGACCAGTGACTCGCGTGCCAGATGTCACCGAGCCAGATGTTGACATGTGTGTAATGAAGATGCTTGTCTTTGGACCTGACAAAGAATTGATTTCTACCACTTAAGAAACTGATGGGTTTTTCTCATTCAGTTTTGCTTACATGGAGCACACATGCATTTTAACTATATGTAAATATATATGCACACATACATGCATAGTTATTTGAAGCAAAGGATACAAATGCACCAAATATAAACAATGCATTGAAGATATGATTTTGGAAKGTGAATAGTGCGAGTCCCATGTAGCAGAAGATGACATTCTCAGCCAGAAAATTCATGAACTCGAACAACTTGAACAAGACAGAAAGAACATAGTTATGTCTCGTGCCTGGAACTAACTCCTGTTCACACATAGTTAATCAAAGCTGTCAGCTTGGAATGCAGAACTGTTTAGTTAACAGAGATCCTATCTATTTAAAAAATGGATTTTAAAACTATTCAATTTATTATACAGTGTATGTGGTGTCTCTGGTATTGCTTTTAGCTTTAATATCATCGTTATGTGCATGTTTTTCTCTATTTGCACTTGAAAGCTTGACACAGACAACTGGTAAAATACAGAGAGAACAAGCAAGTTACGCAAGCCTCAATGCAAATTGCAAGGAAGCTGAGGGATGAACTGAGCTTCACTCATGTTTATACAGATGAGTCTGGCATATGGATCAGATCCTGATTGCACAAGTTAGTTACCACAAAATAGCGATGGGTATGTGCTCCTGCCAGRGAGGAAACTTTTTCCTAAGTGGATTTTTTTATGAACCTGTACCTTTAAAGTGTGTGTGTGTGTGTATAAAATATATTTAATAATCTTGCAGATATTCTTATTGCACTACATGAAAATCAAGTACTGATTTCAAATGAATCTATTTAAATACCATTTTAACATGTTATAAAGTATGCCTAGGCTATGCCATTATGAAAGGACTTCTGTGAATAAGACAAGTAAAACCAAAACATCCATTTGCCTTGAAGGGATGGTCTTGATTGCATTTGTAGATGATTGCATAAAAAGTAATATAAAACCTAAATTTTCATATTAGTCACACTTGGAAGGAAATCAATCATTGCTACCAAGTAACTACAGAAGGGTGAAGAGAAAGACTTCACTCTTCTGAAGTTACTTCTGGGCTCAGGWGTCTGTGCTAACAAGCCCTAATACAGAATTAGGACCTAAGTTTGTCAAGTCTGTCTCCAAACGGTCATAAATTGTTCTATGAGGAATGTTACTATGGAGATATTTCTCTTCATCTTCAATGGGGCTTATATAGTTTTTTTTGTAATATGTTTGTGCTAAAAGTACTCAATAATAGTCACTAAGATCTAACAAAGGAAAAATGAGAGCTGTCAGAAACATYATTTAAAAGAAATTTCAAAGCAGAATGGCATAACCCTCAGTGGTTCAGGGGAAGGTGTTTTGGGCCACGTGGCAGCACCCTCACTTATCCCCAGCACCCTTTGTGGTCCCTGTMACGTGTTGCCTTGCTGAAGAGCAAAGCGTAGAACAAAACACAGGAAATATTTGCATTTTAGAAGACTTAAATTTCATAACGAAAGAAACCAGATGTCAAACCAGACTCAAATTATGGCGTSGTCAACCCATGGCAATTACTGTGATAGCTCTTTGCGTTTCCCTCCTGGGAGCAAACGTGATCCCACCTCTTTGCTGGAATGYCGTGTGGCACATTTCCTTAACGATTTAAACATTCTGTCAAGAATATCAGGATGTGATTTTATATATAAATATATTTATACACACATGGACACACAATGTTTGTTTCTATGATGTATTAATCTATTTTGAGGAAAGGGCACTACTATAAGGAATGGCAGATACTTTAGCTGTTGGGGTAAAGATAAAGGTATTCCGTAGTCTTAAAATGAAAGGATGTTGCACTCTTCAGTTGCAAAATCTCTTYCAGTCCTTAAATACAAAGCATGTCTATTTTTGATTCAATTTTAAAAGTCTGGAGCTGCATTTTTCTTCTTTTGTCCAAACTGTTTATTGACCTATATTTTTGAAGAAAAATGGATCTTGCTATATCATTCCTCTTGCTGTGTGCTTTTTCTTGGTGGTTTTCAAGAGCAAAACCTCTTCCCTGAAGTGTTTTYGTGACATTACTGCTTTTAGACTTCTCACCCCTTACCTCCTGGCAGTCTGGTCAGGATGCAGTCTTTTGTATGCCTTACAAATGCAGTTATAAATACTTGATTGTTGTCTGTGTGTTCTCATCAACATGAGCACTTAGCTTACAGGGTCAGTATTTTCAGAGCAACCAGCCTAGGCTTATCAGTTTACTTTAAAGCATATGCGACGCTTTCTAGTTATGTCRTGTGTATTAAATCTGTGTAACACTAATATCTTACCTTTTTTTTATTCTGTGAATACAGCTGCTGAACAGTGCTTTTTCCCTCCTGATGTCCCTTTTTACCTCCTTATCTCTCACTTCTTAGTATTTTGATCTTCCAGTATCAGAACACTGCCCACTTGCTAGAAGATTAAATCCAAACCACTTTATTTCCTTTGTATAGCAAAAAAATCTGGGTTCTATTTCAAGAGCTGATTTAGAATAAACTCCTTCCTATTGCAATCACAATCCTGATTTGGTCTCTGCTGAGGCAGCCATCTCCTTAGAGAGGCCGGACTAGCTTGTTGGCCTCGTTCATTCACGTCTTACGCATCCTCTCTCTCTGTCTCTCTTTTTTTTTTWAAAAAAATGCATATGTTGCATGGTGTGATTAATGCAGAACCAAACCATGCATTTAGTTTAAGTGTTAGCTTTGTGAATTATTGATATTTGCTGGTTTATTTCTCTAAAAGAGTAAATATAACAAAAGATTGTTATTAAAAATGCCTATTAAAATTGATATAATACTCATCTAAAAACTCATCCTTCACCAAATATTCTGAGGCTTTATGTTATTCTTAACTTGGTACATACTGAGAGACATGAGCAAAAAAATCAGTTTAAAATTGGGACAATCCTCTGGGAAGTGTCACTTGCAGATCAGTTCATATAGGTAGAGGACAGAATAAATGCGAGTCACAGTTTCAGCTTTGCTGTAACCACTCGGTTTTATCTTATAAAAGTAATTAAGTGAAACATATAAAAACTGTATTACTTTTATCTTTTAAGCAAGAAAAAGAAAGCATCTCTTATTTGTTTTTCTWCTCTGTTTCTCTCCCTCTGCCCCACAGTTAGAATCAGGCCAGACAGGGAAACAAGCTAGCACAAAGGGATTTTTTGTTGTTCCATTTTTTTATAGAAACACTTAAATTCTCATTGAGGGTTAGTGAGACTATCTGGCTAGGTAAATAAAGCACCTGCAAGATGCAACACACTAAGTTGCAGCCTCTGGTGCAGTAAAAATACAATCAAAAAGAGAAAATGAGCATATTTTATACCACARTCTCCTTGTGACTGGGGAGAAGAAAAATGTCATGTTTCTCAAACGCCAGTGTTTTTAATTAGCATTCTTTCACCTCACTTTGCTTCCAAAATTTCTTTTTAGGAAAGCCTCTATAACTTTTATTCACTAACTGTTTGGATCTGAATAGCGTTCTATTCTTTTAGTTAATTTAATTAAGGGAAGCCATCCGTACCTCCCTGCAAGCTCTCTCTAGTTGCATTGATTTTGTGAGCAACGTGTGGGAATGCTGCCTGTCCAAGGGTTATGTCTTTTGGCTAGAGCCAATTTCTGCATGCTTTACCACACAGCTAACAAAGAATTGACACTTCAAAATATTTTAAGCACTTCTAAAATCCCCTCCTGGTAAAAGAGTGGTAGTACTGTTATTGATGTAATCCATTTGACTGTAAAGGTTCAATGAACTAATATATATTTATCTTTGTATTTCTCATCTATGTTAGAATTAGAGACATTTCTGCTGATGCTTCAAGGAAAAAAAAGCACCAAATCAATCTCATCTTCCTCTTTTCATGTGTTCCAAGTCATTTTTTTCTTTTGTTCTGTTACTTGCCATCACATCCCTAACCTTAAGTAATCAATTCAATTTCTAAGGAGGACAAATACAATTTATTCTGTTTCAATATGCTGAGAGGATATATTCTCTTATATTAATTCTTCAAGTTCAAAAAACAATTTGTCTTCTATGCCGGTTTTGGGAGTTTGAAAGAAATTCACTCAATCTTTGATATATTAGGAGCTAGTACAATATGAAACCCTTTGATCTATCAGGGAAAATGAATGGTGTTTCTATGGTGTTTCCTAAGTCAAATTGCATATTTTCTGGTGAGAAGGAAGACTGTAAGAAATTCTGTTGCTCACTATTGCAATGGAAAACTTAGAAATCCAATATACTTCAGGACAGTATCTGTTTGCTCTCTTTGAATCTGTTCTACAGAAATTGTTGAAGGGTTTATTCACCCTTATTGGTATCTCTTACAGTCTTTTGTTTTGTGAAAAACCTTAGAAGAGCTTTCAGAACCACAAATCAGGAAAGACTCACATTTATCTTGATATAGAAAACTGGAGAAGTGTTTGCCTGGGTTTTCTGATGATGTGTTGCTTTGGTTTTATTCTTTGCTTATTCTAAGATAAAAAGATACCTACAAAATCACTTTACGTTCTGTAGTGGATATTTGTATAGGGTTTTCTATATATGTGTTGTTTAGTTGTAAGCCTGTTAAGAGGTGTTTTTAGGGTAAAGGACCCAAGACCGAGGGAGAGCGCACAGTTCAAGAACCGTTCTTGCTATCACTGGTGCTGGATGCCAGGAGATCCAGAAAATGTTGAATTCCATTTGTTATTCTTAAAGCCTTATTGTTCACAAGACAGCTCTTAACTACTCTACCCTGTCAGAATATTATCCTATGTTGATATTTTACAGTATGATTTGGAATTTCTCTAGCAGGATATGGAATCAATGGGAACACTAGTCTGTTTTTACATGGAGTTTGGGGTGGTGGCTTGGATTTTTTTTGTTTGTTTTGTTTTTAGGATGATCCTTAATTTAGGCTCCCTGCCTCTTAATGTTGCATTTGTTCAGGAATCAATGATTCATTTGGATAAAATATGAGAAATCTGGAGGATGTGCTTTACAGGATTACACTATAATGAGGGTTAAGGGAAGAGGCTGGCTCTTTGTATACACACACCCAAAAAATGGGGAAAAGGAGATTGCTAATGCCAGGAAGGAGAAATGTTTTAGAATTGGCTCTTCAAACCCCTGTGACAAGATCTAGAGAGGCACAATAGCAGTCGTGGCTGGAGTCRAATTACCCGGTCTGCACAGTGACATGAACGAGCTCCTTGGTTCTGCAGTGCTCACACGGACCATTTGCCTCTGTACAGATGAAGACGTCTATGAGCCTCATTTGTGATTCAGTGCTCCGCTCAAAGAAAGTGCAGCATATGGCTGCCTTTGACATTCCTCTAGGTATTTCTCCCTTTGTCTGTGAGAATGGGGCCTGTAGGTTTTAATTCCAGTTGGGATGTGTTAGCCAACTGGTGGCAYCTACCACTGTGCTGTGAAGAGCAAACTATCACCTTTACAAAGAGCTCGTTGATATTTAMAGAAAACATTTAATATTTAAACAGATTATAAAACCTTTAATGAGATGGTCTGGAAACTAGTTTGCATATGGCATTATAAACTAGATATACAGATGAGGATTCCGTTTGGAATCACTCAGTATTTTTAGTGTTGTTTTGAGGATAGGAATGTTTTTGATACATTGATACAAGGAAAGTGATTCTCCTGTCCTTCCTGTAAAAAAAACAAAGGGCTTGAAAATGGTGATTTTTTTTCTTGCTATTCTTTTTTTATTGTTTCTATTTTTCATTTTTATTCTGTTCTTATTCTTTTTTTTTTTTTTTTTTTTTTTATTTTTTTTTTTTTTTTTTTTTTTTTTTTTTGCTATATTTAGCTATTATTTGCTAAAAGGAAACACAGTATTTCCACAGAATTTTAAAGGAACTCCATGTAAAAGACTGCGGATGAACATTCTTTTAGCATGGTTTAGTAATCAGGAACATCAGTCCCATAATGAGTCATTTTGCTAAGAAATTGAGATTGAGTGACGTGGTAGTATAATTGCTTTTACAGAAATCAAGAATTTCATGTGCTATTGTGACTCTGCTTGTCACTGCTTACCCAGTAAGCAGCTTGAGCCTTCTTTACAGCATTATAGTGTTCTGTGGGGTTCCRCACGATCTTATGGTACATCTGGTCAAACAATGTGTCTGGCGTATTTCCAACCTCCAGCTTTTTCTGRTAAGCGCAGAAAATAACCGTGTAGAGTTCTGGAATTCATTGTATGCTTCCTGTTAATTCCAATCCATTTCAAATGTAATAATTACTGCAAGCATTACGCATGTGGTGCATATTCAATTGGAGCTAAGGCAGCAATTTCTAAATGAGAGCAACCTGCCTGCAGCCRGCGCGTTGGCTCCTGAATCACATAGAGATGCTCAGAGGCAGCGAGCTCTGACGGGGCAGCTCGGGAAGAGGCGGCTTTGGCAGCCCATGGAGCGGCCCGAGTCCCAGGAGGTCAACTTGGAACTTAGAAATTSTAGGACGTGGGTGAAGGGGCTACTTCTCTTCAGGGGATTGGGCTGTGTGTGCACAGATAGCTAGTGCTTAAAGAGAAGTGAAAAAGTAGGACTTTGAGAAGAGACTAAGTCTGTGACTGCTATTGATTCCAATGTAACTTTGGCATCTCAAAGTTGGCAGAAATTCCTGCCTGCAGTTTCAGATACCTGCTCTTAATAACTAGGGGCTAAAAGCAGGATAAGTCTGGCTGTATTTCCAAGCTTGGTTGGCCTTACTGAGGTCACACTGAATGGCTGCAGAATGAGGGCTTTGATATAGACCTTGTCTCACCAAAATATGGTCTTCCTTTGTAATGCAGCTTGTTTTCTGAATGTCTGGGTACAACATGAACAAAAATGTACTAATGCTGATCTATTTGGGGATAAATTGTCCCAAGATTCTGTTTTATTTTCTCATCCTTTATAAGAAGAAGTTGCTTTTTTTAGACCTTTGTATTGAGTGCTGTGATTTGGTCACCTGCACTCCYTCCTTCAGGAACAGTGCCTGAAGCTCCAGCCTTTATTGCTTTTGAGAATATTGGTGGATTAAAGGAGGCTGGAAATTAGTTTTTCTTGTGTTCACTTGTTGAAAGGAAATCATGAGCTGGAAGAGGAGAGTATCTATCAGAGCAAGCTTTTACTCTTAGTCCCCATTTAAAAGGAAGAAAGTACTTCATGCTTACAATCTGTTTCATGGTAGCTAGGAATACACACTCCAGTGGAGCCTGCAGTCAAGGATCTTGTTGGGTTTAATGTATACTTTTTGGCAGCGCTAGACCTGCGTGCTAGGTATTGGTTAAACAGAATTTGCAACTTGTATTAGAAACAGTATTAATTATCTCATCCTATTTTGGTATAGGCTGAGTTTTCAACCAGCTGTACTCAGCTAGTACCAGAAGCCAAGGAACGATTCTAGTAATAAATTCTCCTAAAAGCCCTATAARTGTGCTGTGCTGGAAAACAGATTCCTTCTGCACAATACTTATGGTGAGCTTGTTCCAAAGATAACTTTCTTTTATCTCAGTCTTTCTGTCTGACAATCATTTATGTGGAAAAAATTGATCTCTTGCAGTGCCTTTTTTCTTGAGTAGAGCTCCTGGGCAAATCACAACAGCTGCATAAAGTTGCACATAGCAGAAGGGCCCAGATTATGGGCTTGCGTTTTATAGTGGTGGTTGTTTTGCTAATTAATAAGGAAAATTTGCTATATGTAGAGTCTAAGTCTAGGAATAGCCTCTAATTTTTAAAAATCAAGAGAGAATTGTAAGTGCCATTAAATCCTGGAATTTTGTGGTCTTTTTTCCCCAGAAATGTAAACTAATTATCTTTAAGTGATCTAGAAAAGAGTTGGCATTGTTGGAGATAAATTCATACAGGTTGTACACTTCCGAGGTGTGCCTAGCTCTAGTGCTTTGCTTCTAAACATGCCTGTGAACAGCAGGACCAAACCCAGAAGGTGCACCTGTGGCCTGTTTAAGGCGGGTTTAAGATGATTGGCACTAAAACCATTTCACTGGGTGCAGTTTCTGCCTCTGACTTTGTGACATTGCTTCTCCCACATGCAATGTGGGTGCTAAGCATCTGGAGCGGGACCCCTTGCAAGCAGCAGGTTGATGCAGATAGATAACTGATCTATAGATAGGGATCATTGATAGCGGTGACTAAAGATAACTGATGAAAGGATCCTGTAAGATTCTTGATGTTGAGAAGATTCTTGATGTTGAGAAGGGAGATCTGTTCTTTTTGTTCCGAGTGTAGGTCTGCTTTTCTGTAACTTGGTTACAGAGATGTTTAGACCATCAGAAGCACAGTGTAATGACCGAATGGGCTTCTGCTGTCTCTTTGCCTTCAGCCCTAGAGTGCCTCTTTTTTCTTTATTTCCTTGCAAATATTATTTGTTATTAGGAATCTTTGCTTTGATTCTGTGAATCTCCTTGCTCCCCTCTGTAGTTATAAATGGAAGAGCATCATGTCTAAAAGATGCTATTTTATGACAGGTATTCAAGACACTATAATGATTTGATTTACATTTTTTGGATAGAATTAATTTTTTTCATGACTTTCTTAGCTTGTTTAAATTCATATGGCAAATTAACATTAAACTAAAGAATATGCTTATAAACCCAACACTTCTACACCAAACCGTTGCTATAATACAAATCAAATTATCATATAGCAATTGGCTGACTGCCTTGCCTGTTTAAGGAAAATGTATAGCTATGTTACAAATGAGTTAAGCAAATTATGAAATCTTGAAGTGTTTTCAAGGGATTTCCTGGAGAGAGCTGCTGCTCTTCTACAAGGTAATGACATCTAATAGTCAGAGATGGTCATGTCTGCATTATATTGTGGATATTAAAATTTGATGCAGTCAGTACCATGACCTTCAGTGAGAACGGGCTTCAGCACTGTGTCCATAACTAAGACATGCACAGTGTGAACTTTCAGTCCTTCAATGTAAGTKGATTTACTCAAGCAGTCCTAATAAGACTAGGTGCCTCAGTCAAGTTACTCCCTCATTAGACGGCACTGGGTTCTGTTATTCCACCCTTATCCTGTTCTAAAGCTTCTACAAAAACTCGTAGGTCATGGGCTGCAGAAATCTGTGTCATCTTGGAGGCAGACATTGCAATCCCAGTGCAGCTCAACAATCAGAGAGCAGAAGATTTTGCGTTATAAAGTTCTCTCATTCCTGATGAGTTTGCTGTCAGGAACAGCAAAATATACGGGTAACCATTTGCAAGAGTGGAAGTGGATCTAATCTCTCTGATTATTTCCTTCTAATTTAGCAGAGTTCTTGCAGTTTCTTAATTTCGTGACATTTTCATACAGAAGCTGGTATAAATTATCGCCTCCTTAACTTTTACCCCCTAGACTTACAATTCAGGTCTCTTGGGAAGGATAGATTATTATATTTGTTCACCTAGAAAATTGTTAATGTTTTCCTGGCAAAATCTCTAGTCTTTCCCCAGAAAAATACATAAACTCATCCCTCGCATTAATGAAATCCCACCCAGCTGTATTCCCCTACACATTCATTGCAGTAGCYGAGGAGTAAAAATCAGTAATTTCCATACCCTACCTGCTTGGTTCTCATTTTGGAATCTGGCGACAGGTTGTTGTAGGTGTAATGGGCCTGTGTGACACCGCAGAAAAGGACTGCCACAATCCCTGCAACGCAAAGCAAAGCCGGAGTTAGCTGTAAGGCAAAACCAGACGCAGCTGTGAAACAAAGCCTGAGTTAAGTGCTTACAYTTTCTTCCTTAGGTTTGTTGGAGGGCTGCATAAAGCAGCTCATTAGACTGCGTTGAAGGCRTTTTGTACTGAAAGAACTCTCAGGTAAGCTTTTATAAGAGCTTATTGCAAACAAGTTAGATTTTTTTTTTTCTTTAGTTTTCAAAAATCCATAGAGGTTTGGTGTCTGCTAACTCTCCATCGCACTTTTGTGACATTTCCACTCTAGTGTTTGTCCCGAGTGTGTAGCACAGTCAGTCTGAATTAATACATGGCAACATCTGATCACAGTCTTGCGGATAGTTAACCAAGATTATGACATAACTGTCATGTAAGGAACTGCAAACTACAGAAATATTCTGGCAGCAAATGAATAGGAAAGGCAGAAATGATGATGGTTTGATTCTGTGTGTGACTTGCGAGCGCTTGGTGCCGAAGGAGCACCCAACCATGCTCTGCACAGGCCCCAGCGGCGGTGCCGAGGGCTGCGGCTCCGGGCAGCAAYTCTGTTTTCCAGCATCTGGAAGGTCAGTGGGAGCAGCGCAGCGTGAGTGTCAGGAGGAGAACAGTATTATATTGTGGTAGTATTTATTTTTATTTTCACATGCTTCCTGCCCAGCCCTGGCCCTGTTTCTAACTCATTAGGACCATTGAGTAACAAGATTGCAATGCGGGATTATAATTAAAGTAGCTGGAGAAACAGTACCTGCAGTTTCCCTGGACACAGGTAAAACAAGAGGAGAGAGGGAAAAAGAAAATAAAAGATAAGCATCCACCAGTGAAAGAAGGTGTATGTCCATGCAGGAAGAAAGCTCTGGCTTATTTTCTGTAAACTTGGGGCATGTCTGTGCTGACAATTATTCTCCTGGCTAACTAGCAGCATTAAGAACATGCAATGAAATTTCAGTTAAAAATATATGTCCAGGTGGTGATTTTCACTAGCTACAGGCTCAGTAACAAGATTGGAGATTACATTTCCTGTTTCACTTTTTTTACATGAGTCATKATGATGCCTAATCTAGCATTTTTTGTATTGATTCTTAAATTCACATATGATTATAAAATGTTTTTGTGACTGCTGAGAAATCATGAACTGTAGATTGTGAGAGAACTGAGACAGCAAAGTGAAATAAAGCAGGAACAAGCAATTAATAACAGCAGGAACATTATATTGCAAGTTGTACTTTCCTCATTTATTTTGACAACTGCTTAATTTTAATTATTTTCATTTTTTTCCTTAACTAGTAAATATTCTGCAATGCGGTTTGGCAATTTAGTGCAGATATACTAAAAATGACYTTATTATAGCATTCTCTTATGGAGACTTTGCTCAGTAGTAAGGAGTGGCTGTCACGTTGGGACAAATTGTAATGTGTGCAAATTAGATTATACTGAATAAGAATCAATTTATGTATATATCACAGCCTGAAGAGATAGCTTATTATTGATATCTATTACATTAATTTATAATTTACAATTATTATTATAACAATATTTGTGCTCTCATCCCAAATTTTTATTTTGGTTTKTTGGCTTAATCACACTCATTTCTCAGCCATGATCTGGTCCATACATTGTGTGTTAGTATGGGATGTCTTGAGGTAGGGGAATGAAATAGTTTGTAAAATATGGATCTGTATTAATAGCCTTTCACATTTCATTAAAAAGGAACAACAGGAACAACAAAAATCCCTCCAAAACCTAAGCTAAATAGTGAGCTTTATGGCTTTACTATATGTACACAAAACACATCACAGGTCTGACATATTTCAGTATTAGAGGAGAAAAAAATCTTTAGGAATTATTTTGCAGTTGTATTATTTAATAGCTACAGGGAAATATTAATGTCTAATGTTAATCCTTTGAAGTTCTACTCAGACTGTACTTTAGGTCTGTCATTAGCCTTTTTTCTTAAGTGGCTTGATATGTTTTGCTTGCAATTGGTGTGTGGGCAGAGCAATCCTCCTTTAATATGTCTATATTAATTCTTTATGTATAAGAAATAGCTTAATTTCCTGCAATTTTCTTTTCTTTTTCCCTTTAATTGGTTCTTGACTGTTTACCACTCTCTTTCTGGCCATTTAAAGTAGCTTACCATGGTGACAATAAAAAAAAAACAACTGTACTGCTCAATAACTGAGTTATTGTTACAGAAAAAAAGTGAAACGCTCCTTAGGGTGAGAAATGAGAGAGGCTTCAGTGTCCACRGCCCAGTCTGCCAAAAAGCCAAATGCTGATTATTTTTGTCTGGATAGGCAGCCTGTTCCTTGTTCTGGGAAATGGAAACTACCTCAGGTACCAGAAGCCCAGAGAGGATGTATTAGTGTTTCCCTTCCAAAACCACATTTTGGATATAATATATAACTTACCTATTTTATGTTTATTCTTGGAYGACACATAGCATCCTTCTTGTTAGCTGGAAGATTTAAACAGCGTTTCCTTGGAAGTTATTGGCTTGGGAAATCATTGCCTCCACTTGAAGGCAAGTGTTCATCCTTCTTTGCTATCAGTCGTGTGCAGTAAGTAAAGAACCAGGTGATGTTTTTAAGAGCCATTAAGCGTAAAGACGATAAATGGAGCAACATGAAGGCGCTACCAAAGTCAGTAGAAATGAATGTGAGCTTCAGAGAAGCTGAGATTTCCTTCAGCTGCTTTGGCTTTGAAGACTTTTCAAACTAATGCTTAAGTTAAACTTAGTTCTTGAACAATTTTGCCAAGGAAATAGAATGGGCTGCACTAACGCTCCATTAAGCAGTTTTCATGAGTTCCTCTGACACTAATTAGAGCACTAGATTTCAGAAATGGCAGCACTGAGAACATTAAAATGATCAGGCTATTACAAAGCTTTTTCCTTCAAATCACACTAACAGGTTACAAAAAAAAATATTACCTGGATAAATTCTATCTGTTTACARTTTTTATCTAAACTTCTGTGGCCTTATATGTGCTAAAAATCAATCCCTAAATATGCACTTGAATTGTGAGTGCACAATACCAAAAAGTGGCATTTTCTTCCACTAGAATTGTATTTTAAAGCTCTCTTTATTAAATAGAAKACAATACCTACCTGTAAGACCAGCAGCTTCTGCTGATAAGAAGGCACTCCAAGACAGGAGGAAAAACAGACCGGTTTCCAGCATGGGGAATTCACACAGCTTTGTGAATTTTGTTAAGTGCTGAAAGATAATTAAGGAAAAACAAAAAACCTCTATTTTGTAAACCAAAATGGCCCCCAAACTGATGACAGAAAGAGAACTCTCCCATAGTGTCCATCCAKGCAAGCTGAGCTCAGGAAAACCTGCACAGCTGCTCAACTATTTCAAACAAAGGTGAAAATCCTGCATAGGGTTTAAACAGGTAAATTCTACAAGTCTGCCATTTAAAGTCACATATGGTAAATTGACTGGCTTGGCATGTGGTTTACCTTGTGTTTTGGTGTAAATAGTACAATAGTAGGGTAAGAGTATAGTATTAAGTGYAAAGGCTGCTGATCTGTAGCTCATAAATAAGACAAATACACCATTTGTGTTTTAATCTCAAAATACTTKTACACAAATGTAATTATATACACACAAGTCGACAGTACAGTCTTGCCTAATGAGAAAAAAGAAATTTGCATAAAATTTGGAGCTAGAGATGTTCACGTTTTTGTGGGTTCAGACATGAAGTTCCTGTCACTTCACGCCAGGAGTGTTTGCAAAGTCTCCAACGCGCAGTGCAGAAGCTCACACTCGAAGCAGAGCTGGTCGCTCTCACTTACCACACACCTTTCCAACAGATATAGATTTTTTCCCTCTGAGAAGGAACCATAAAGGATATTAAAGCTGTGACAACAGCGTAAGAGGATCCCATGGCAAACGATCCAGCGAAGATCCCCAGAAAATTTCCCACTGACTGGAAGAAAGCAGCAGCATCAAATGCGTTAGGATTCTCCTTGGGACTGTAAATGGATATAGAGCTGAAAAAAAAAAAAAAAAAACCAAAAGAATGGGAGAAAGGAAAAGGATATAATTAATTCAAACTATTGTTATGATATTGAAATCAATAATTAAAAATAGACTTCCTTAGGGACTCCCAATGCAAAACAAGCTTCTCYGTGCTGACAGCAAGTCTGAAAGCAAAGCAAATAGAGACTGGGGGAAAACAGTGTATTTGCAAGGTATCACCCTGAAATCAATAGTTTGCTGCCAGCCAGTAAACATTTTTATACTAGAAGTGCAGTAAAGAATACTGTTTGCAGTCCAACTACATATTGAAAGATGGTAGGTGTATGAGAAATCTGTAGGGAAAAGAGATAACTTTGAATTATTTATTGACCATATGYCTTCAGAGCAGTTGTATATTCACAAATAGACCCGATAAAAAGTGTAGCTTTATGGCTGAGGCTCAAATGGGTGATACAAATCTCAGAAYGCACCAAATCTGCAGCAGCTATCCTGTCATAAACCACCTAGTATTCCCTTCTCGGGGTAACCCTTTCTAAACAGCAAYGAAAACAAAATAACAGCTAAAGAATGTAAAACCTGGTGGAAAACGGAATAAATGTTCTTCTGCAAAAAAATCTGCGGCAGTTGTCAGAGGTCCTCTYCTGTATCCCACCTCTTGAGTACCACCACTAAATGTATTTTCTTTTGGAAATTATGCCACCCACCAAAGGGGAGGCAATAAATTTAAATATTTTCTAGAGTGTCTGGCTTGCTACTTGCTGCAAGTCAGTTATTGCCTGGAATTCTAGTGATRCCAAGTATGTATGCCTTTTTGCTGTTGAAACATTAAAATTAATAGATACATAGTAGCCTTACACATCCTGAACACTAATTGAGCCACATTTCAGATTTTTGTGGTTCTATTACTGAAGCTCTTTAATGTTCTCTGTCAAGTAAAATCGACTGAGCTTGGCACTGGATTCCAGGAAGTGGCTTGAATTGCTGGAAAATGGTATTTTAAAYATTAAAAATTTAGAATTTTTAAAAAGAGTTGAATATTTTATGTTTTTGCATATTAAGAACATGTGATCCCTGCAGCCTAATATCTTCCATCTGGAGTTGAGGCTTAGGGATGCAGTTTTGTACAGAGGATTTTCTCAGCAGGTTCTCAGCAGTTGTGTACATTCAGAGAACTGCAAACAATATGAAGAAATGTGAAACTAGATCTCATGTCTGTTTGTCTGTTTTTGGAAGAAGGCACAAGGATTCTAAAAGCATAAGGTGGAGACTAAATATGAGCACTGAATATTTTTTACAAGAGAAATTACTTAATACCAAATTCTGCTATTTCTAGGCATGGATTATTAGCAGGACTTAAAGAAGAGTGTGATGATCTTTTAATGGAAAGCACTAGTACTACTGGTATGTAAAATATCGTACCCAGTAGTACTGCCAGTATTGTACCCAGTAGTACTGTACCCAGTAGTACTGACAACATGTTGCTGTCTAGATTTTGAGTCTTCTTTCAATTGTGGTTGTCTTAGACCAGGGACTCATTATAAATCTTTGCTTCTCTTGCCCCTGGTGACTCCGAAATGTTTGTCATCCCTGGCCTACAAAACTTCTGTTCTTTCAGCCCCCACAAGAAATAAAGAACTATATTAAACCTTGCTTAAATTGTTACAGTTGTGAGAATAGCTTTACCTCAAAGAARCTGCTGTCAGCTATGATACTGTATGTTAATGCACTAACTTGCTAAGTGTATTTTATATGTCTAGGGAGGAGTTCAGTTTAGTTAGAGTTGAAGGCATTGTGTTAATATAACCCGAAATGCTAAATCTAAATATTTTAGGGATATCTTGACAGAAGAGCAACTATCAGGTTGCCTTGAATAAGTATATAGAGGCTACAGTTGCCAGTACATATATTTTTTTCTTCCAACTCATAGTGTATTTAGCTCTGTTTTCCATGATGCCTTATTCTATGTTGAATCTATGACATTTTTTTCTGAACATATTTCTTTATTAATGCTGACTTTTAACTCTCGTTAGCGTCTGAAATACATGCTAATTTATCTGACATTTTTCCTGTATAAGTCGTAGTTTAATGGAACAGGATTTCTTTTTTCYTTTTTATTGCAGTACTTCTTGTGAAGCCAATTGTTTGACATAAAAGCAAAATTTCAGAGTTTAACATGAGACCTAATCATAATTAAACTTACAGTGCCTCTAGTTGCCTTCCTTCTCRGACAGCAATTCAGGAAATGTGCTGGCATAACTCTCTGCTCCTGCTACTCTGCTCGCTCTGACTGACATAAAGGGGTGATCTCAGCTCATTAAGAAACAGCATGTACGAGTTTGATTTTAAATTTGAAAATCTGTTTAGTTTTTAAGTATTAGAGGATTTCTATTTGTTGAACTAGTATAGGAATCAAGTGGGGCATTTGTGTACATTTCCAAGACGGTCTAAGCCAGTCTCAAAAAAGAAAGGGAATAGAAAGTTATCTTCAGGTATTGGTAAGCGAGCAGAACTATTCCACAATGCCCTTTTTCTTCCCAATTCATCTGTGCKTCATTGGCCAAATAACAAGGGACAGGCTGAATTGCTTTCAAAAAGGATTTATAGACAATATTTATGTAATAAATTGTAAGGCAGGATGTATCTTTCGGTTGAAGCAAAAAGGAGGATTTCTTGTTGGTGCCGGTTGTACCACCCTGATCATCTGGCAGCTCTCATCTTTTATGATCATTTTAGGTCAAAAGCTTTGCATGTTGAAGAACACTCCTTTCTATGGACTTATATGGGAATGGGGGGAATTGGGTACTAAAGGTCCCCATCCCATGCTGAATTTTAACTTCTCCTATAACAGAAAGAGAACAGTCATATTTCCAGTTAATTCTCAATTGTTTATTTCTTACAGACCCCGATATTCCCAAGGAAGATCTCCTTATGTGCCCACCATAAGACACTTGTCTTGCTGTAACATTTACCAGCCTGTGAATCTAGTGCAGTGATACTATTCTTCTGGTTTTAAACAAATAAGTTGGAAGTATTTAAGATTAAATCAAAGGTTTTTCAGGAAGGGTTTTTTGTTGTTTTTTTTTTTTTTTTTTAAGGAAAAAAATCTGCAGGTGAGATCAAAACTTCCATCTGACCTTTTGTTTCTGACAATTCCTAGTTAAGCTTAGGGCTAGGATAGTATCAAATAAAGTGAGATTAGTTGTAACTAATTAGTTGTAACTATTGGAAAGGCAGAGAAATAACTGGTTTGGCTGTGTCATCCAAAGTGATACAGTGCATGTTTTAGATGAGTATTGGTAAAAGGTAATATCCTGAAGAAAATACAGTTTAGGATCAGAAGGAAAATATGTACAAACAACAGAAAATTATTAATAAACCAATTTAGAATCAATAATTAGCAATGACTAATAAATAAACTATTTTATTCCTTCCCTTATCCCTGGGTTTATGTGACCAACATGAAAGCAAACAGCTTTCAAAAGGAATCTTCCTTTCAACTTGCTTGGTCAAAGGGCTCGGTGACCTCCTTCCTATTTGCTGCAGTATCATGTGTCACATAATACTGCAGAGAAAAGAATTGGGAACTATATAAAAAGATAAAAATTAATACCTAAAAATACAGAAACCTCAAATATTCCTTAAATATCTTCAGTGAATGAGGAGTGATCTCCCTCAGGTGATAAATAATTACAGAACCACCTGGTGTTTCATCACCTGCTAATTAAGAAAAATAAAATAGGCTAGGAATAAAATAGGCAGAATTCAAGGTTGTTTTTAATAAGAAAAAGGAAGTTATTTTTTCCCTAAAACTGTAATGGACTAGATATGCATAGGTCACTATACTGTATTATAAAATATGGACTTTGCTGAGAAATGGATTGAACAGAATAGTTTCTATTTCCACYCCACTTTCTAGCAATGTAGTTTTTCTAAGAGTGTCAGAAGAGGATCCCAAAGACAGAAGTGCAGTTTCTGCAGACTTGGTGCCACTGAGGCTGGGTGTGAAGGTGCCCAYACAGCATCAGGTCCCTGCAGCTCCTCCTGGCAAACCGGGGCCTGTAAAACCCTCCAGGCTGCCTCATAAAATATCTCCTCGCACAGGAATAGTCAGTAGATGATCTATCAAAATGAAAGCAGGTGAGATAAGAYGGGGATGTGAGTATGCCAAGCCAACAAATGTATATATGCAGTAGAGACGAGTTTTGCATGCAACTAAGTGGGGGGAGAGAGAGACACACCAAGGCAGGAATAGTTCAGGGCTAGAAAAAGCCCTACGATGTAGCTGCACCTTGAGGCAAACAGGTAGAGATCAAGTCCTCTAGGTGAAAATTTCCAGTAACAAACTTKTATTTTTTTAACAAAGTGACAATCCGTAAGCAGAACAAGTAGACCGAAGATGCACTTAAAGGACAGAGGTGTGTTTTCCCTACAACCTTCTAGATAAAGAATGCTTCCCTGAAATGTATTCCATATTTGCAAATGTTCAGAGAATTAAGGTTGCAGAAACTTGGATTTTACAGAAATACCTGTTTGCTGTTCTGTTTGATTCTGCCCTTCAGCTTCCCTTTTCCCAAATATCCCATGCTGTGCTTGCCTGGCCCAGCTCATCATGACCTGGTTTCTGTTCCAATCACAACCTGATTGCAGGATATTCCAAGTAGTGCCACTTGGTTTAATTCCAGAAACAGGTTTGGCGGGTATTGTAGAGACTATCTTCTAACTGGGATTATACTCTGTTCCCTTTTCATTCTATCATGACATATTTATATCTTGTCTTTTATGCTGCAGATCCAACCATTTAAACTTCTAAACATAATGATTTTTATTTCCTTAATAATAAAATACTGCATTCAGTATTTTCAGTGAATATTCAGTGAATTTCAGTGAATATTCAGTACTTCAGTATTTGTTTCTAAGTCACCAGAATCCAAAGTTACTTGGGAGGTTCAGTCACATCAGGGTGACTGAACCAGGTCTCTCTTCAGGCATCTTAGTGACTTCTTCCTCAGAA